TGCAAAATTTCAGCTTCAGCACTGTGTAGGCGTGCTCTCTGTATTTCAGAATTTTGGAGACACATTTTTTGTCTGACTTTTTTCTGTGAAAACATTTGGTGACATGCTACCACAGCCAGAAGCTCTCCATGTTTGATTTTTTTTTTTTTTAAATAAAAAAAAATAAGTACCGACTTTATTTAGACTTTCTTGACAATACATAAAGTTTTGTTTGACCAAAATAAAACAGTTTCTGAATAAACAAATGACAGCAACTGAAACATTTTCAGTAAGCAGTTCATATTGTACGATCAGTTTATTTGACAGAGAACTGATAACGTGAGATTATGAATGAGACACTAAGACCTGCAGGTGCATGCTGGGCAGGAAGAGAGGGAGAAGTTTAAAGGTGATGAGTAATTTTCTTTCTTTTAAAAAAAAAATGTTAGGCCAGTTTCTTATTACTTTTAAAGTTTTAAAGTTTACTTTTAACTTTAGTAACACTGTTAACCAGTGGTCCCCAACCTTTTCTGAGCCACGGACCGGTTTATGCCCGACAATATTTTCACGGACCGGCCTTTAAGGTGTCGTGGATAAATACAACAAAATAAAACTAGTACCAGTACTGAAAAAAAGAACATTTATTCATAACACACGTGAAAAAACCCAGGAAAACTGAGTAAACTATAAAAACGATAACAAAATAAGGCTGAAAACCGATAAAAACCCTGAAAACCATACATTTCCCACCTGAGCCTCAACTCTCGCGGCCCGGTACCAAACGACTTACGGACCAGTACCGGTCCGAGGCCCGGGGGTTGGGGACCGCTGCTGTTAACTACTATTGAAGAAATATAAAACAGGCCTACCTATCTTATTTTAATTTATGCCAACCTCAACACAAATTAAAATATTATGAAAACAATAAGAGCGATCAACAACATATTTCACATCATTTTAGTGAACAACATTTATATAAAAATATACACATTTGGTTTAACACCTTTTCGCACAATTTTAATATAACGGATTCATGTCTCCTGTACATACGACAACTTGAAACTATTTTAGATTGTGCAGATTTCAGGTCATCAGGTCAGATGATTACCTGGGCCATTGTAGAAACTTTATCTTCCTTCTCTGAAACCAGTTGTGAGTTTCCTTGGCTGCATTTAGTATAATTGTCTTGCTGAAATGTCCACGCTCTTCATCTTCAATGTCCTGACAGATGGCAGCATATTTTTTATCAAGATTGCCTCTGTGCATTTTCCACTCATCCTTCCTTCAGTTATATGACATATGCCAGAGCTGTATGCTGAAAAACAGCACCACACCACCTCCACCTCCAATCTTCACTGTGTTGGAGGTGATTTGCAGTGGCTTTTGGCTTCCAAGCATGGTGTCTATTGTGCCATCCGAAGTATTACATTTTATGAAAATTTGTATCTCATCTGACAAGACTGTATATCTCCCAGTATGGTGATCTCTCAGGCTTGTCTAAATGCTGTTCAGCAAACTTTAAATGCACTTCAACATGATTTTTCTTCAGCAGTGAATTTTTGCATACAGGCTATAGTTTGAAAAATTGAGTCCATTACTGATTGTTTTCTTTTCTTTCTGTAGCTCTCTACAGATGGTCCTTGGATTCTTTTCACTCTGTCTGAACTCTTTCAGGGACCACCTGGTTGTCACCGGTTATGGCGAAATGATTGTCTTTCCACTTCCAGATTATGACCCCAACTGTGCCAATGCTGTCAGTATGTTTCGCAACAATAAGGTTGCAAGCATTGTGAGAGAGCTCAGTGGTTTTACCATCATGAGATGTTTCTTGTTTCACAGCTTGGTAAATTAGACACCTTTTTCTAGACCGTCAGTTGGGAATGCACAAAGTGGCAGGATTACGTTCAAATTACTCATAGATATGACTTTCCATGCATTTTTTGCACCTCATTTTCTTCATATGTTCAAAACTTTCCCCCTGTTTCATTTCTCCTTGTTACACATAATTAACAGAGGGTATAAATACAAGTGACCCCCCACCCCCCCCCGCCACAAAATAAATAAATAAATAATAGCAATAAATAAAATTAAATCAATAAATAAAAATGAATATAAAATAACAACAACAAAACATATAACCATATGAAAACATGAATCATCAGAAAATCTTTTTCAGTTAAAAGTACTTGTTACAGTCAGCTTGGTACCGAATACCACAGTGACTCAGTTTGTATACATGGCTTTACAAAACGGCACCAATAAGGCATGAGGAATTGCAACATCCTCTTCAGGCCAAATTTCACTGCCAACATCTCATTTCCTTAATTGATATTTCAAAACACTGCTTACGTGTTTCAAACAATTTCTGTCTCTTTAGACATTTAGTTTCTCCTCTGTGTCATTAGTTGCTTTCCTGAAGATTTTATGGTTTTGCCTGATTAATACTAGGAATACATAAGCACTGCAGTGTATCTCATTCAGATTTTTGTCAGTCTGAATCACTGTGATACAACTTCACTAGAATAGGAGTAGTACAAAGAGTCGACAGTTCTGTCCCGTCAGTAATGAAATAGTATTAGCTGTTCTAGGATTTAAAGCTCTGAATCTGTCTGAGCAAAATCCAGTGGCAAAGATGGTAAGATTACTGAATGGTAAGTTAATAAACTAAGTAACTGCTGCAGGAATTTTTATGTTAAAATATATGTTTTTTTCCTTTATTCTGAGTGCTTTCAAAGTGTACTGTGAAAAATACACTGAACAAAAATATAAACGCAACACCTTTGTTACTGCTCCCATTCCCCATGGGATGGACATAGAGACCTAAAATTCATTCCAGATACACAATATAACCATCCCTCCCAAACAGTGGTCACAAATCAGTCCAAATGTGTGGTAGTGGGCACATCTGCTATATTGAGATAATCCATCCCACCTCACAGGTGTGCCACATCAGGATGCTGATCTGACATCATGAGTAGTGCACAGGTGTACCTCAGACTGCCCACAACAAAAGGCCACCCTGGAATGTGCAGTTTATATTTTTGTTCAGTGTAGTAGGCACAAACTGAAATCCTGGATTTCATGGCAGTGATGTTCATGATATGATATTTAGAAGTTTGTTGATGTCGTCAGTATGAGTATTTGCATGCATGTAGCTCTATGAAAAGTAAATATACCCTAAGGTGAAAGAGTAAATAGGATTTACTGAGTACTATTACTTTTACTGCAGATGGAATGCAACAGTTATCGCTATAAAGCTTACTGAAATTATCGTCTATTCAAAACTTGATTAAGGACGAAAACGTGCGTGTAAAAGAGTTGTGAGTGTACAGTGTGTGAAAGAGTCCCCAAAAGCAGAAGTATCAGTGAGAACGTTTTTGTCACAGTGTAAATCACTGTGATACGAACTCATCAACAGAGCTGTCCCATGTCTGACAGTGATAGACTGCAGAGTCTCCCTCCTCCACATTGTTGATGATCAAAGGATAATCTGTTGTTGACTGATGAGTGGATGTGAATTTTGGAGCAGAGAACCCAGAGCCATAGCTTGGAGAACTCCAGGTATGATACATCCTCAGCACATACTGAGGAACTCCTCCTGGAATCTGTTTATACCAGCGCGCCTCACTATTAGTAACAGTCCCCAGGTTACAGTCCATGGTGGCTGTCTCTCCTTTGCTCACTGATAACACAGGTTTCTCTGTCAGCACCGTCACACCACTCACACCTGCAAATGATAAGAAGAGAAACCCACTGAAATATCAATCCAACAAATAACCACTAATCTGAAGCATAAATAAGATTCCATACTTGCTAGAACAGTGATGAGAGCACAGAGAGTCACCAGCATGTTGTCAGTGTGCGCTCAGAATGGACTTGTAACTTGGAAAGAAATTTCACTGCCTCTGTGGGATGATTAGAGGAGGTGTGAACCATTAAATATGTCACTGAAACTGAGAGACTGACAGAAGGAGGAGCTTTGTGTAAAACTGCATACTTTGTGATATTGTCTTGAGTGGAGGCTAACTTATTTTTTTATTTTGAATTTGGGTGTTACTGATGTCTCCCTTCCCCTAAATATTACATTAAACTGTAGGTTTAATTGTAATATTTATCATAATTGTAAAGTGTCTGTCTATCTATCTATCAGTAACAGCAGAAATTAAACTGAATAATTACAAAAACGGGAGTTTATCCAGTACACACTGCAAACTTATACACAGTCAGCAAGTGGACCTAAGGCTGCTTAGTAAAGAGGTCTTTGACACAAAGTAAAGCGCTGTGGTACAGGTCTTTTAATATGCTTCCCCTTGTTCTTAAAAAAAAGCAAGTAAGCCATTTTTTATTTGAGAAAAATCTGAAAAATCTGTTGGAGGGTTTTGACTGTGAAAGATATTATTGCAACCTGATGAACACCTCCTGGAAATATGAGTGACCACTAATACTAACAGTATCTCTAGTACGGTGTACATTTTAGGACATCGTCAGGTATCAGACAAAAAATTGTCAGGTGTCAGTTGTCAGAAAAAAAATTGTCAGGTGTCAGTTGTCAAAAAAAAAATTGTCAGGTATCAGACAAAAAATTGTCAGGTGTCAGTTGTGAAAAAAAAAATTGTCAGGTATCAGAAAAAAAATTGTCAGGTGTCAGAAAAAAATTGTCAGGTGTCAGAAAAAAAATTGTCAGGTGTTAGTTGTCAAAAAAAAAAAAGTCAGGTATCAGAAAAAAAATTGTCAGGTGTCAGAAAAAAAGTTGTCAGGTGTCAGAAAAAAAATTGTCAGGTGTCAGTTGTCCAAAAAAAAAAGTCAGGTATCAGAAAAAAAATTGTCAGGTGTCAGAAAAAAAGTTGTCAGGTGTCAGAAAAAAAGTTGTCAGGTGTCAGACAAAAAAGTTGTCAGGTGTCAGAAAAAAATTGTCAGGTATCAGAACACAAGGTACCAGAGAGAAAATCTTCCTGCAGGTGGCGCTGTTGTCATGTCCCACCCGAATTGATTTCCAAATACGTCATCAACGTGTGACCGTGGGAGAGCGTAAGGTCATTGACCTCACCGGAGTTTTACCGTGGTTCAGGCTCCTAACGACACAAGGTAAGTTTAACTTTTTCTCCCTTTTGTTCATATTTTTGCCACAGTTGTGTTATATTAAGTTGCAGTTATGTTGTGAAAGTTACATATCAGAGACGGAAAGCCAGTTTTGTACGAAACCAAATCAGTACTATTTTTGTCTGGCTAATTCATTCTAGCTAGCGACAGTGGTGAAACGTGATTCAAATTTAAACTGTTCAGTAATTGTTTTGTATACATTTCAGCAAATGGACAAGCTGAAAGCTTACGAGCAGCTTAAAAAAGACCTTGAAAATGGTAATCCAACACTTTATTAAACTTTTTGGTAATGCTTGCAAGTTAATTTTTTTAACTGCAAAGAACCCTGACAATATCATGCTTTAATTATTTAACATGTATGGTATTCATATTTACTTCTCTTTATTAATATGCATGTTAACAGATGTATATAGTTATTACTTTATGATATTGTTGGAGTGCCCGATTTAAAAAAAAAATAAATAAATAAAAATGACAAAAGTTAAATTTCTCACAAAATTAAAAGATTGCAATTTAAAAGTTAGATAGTCATGTAGGATCTGTCTCCTACAGTCAATCTATAACTACTTACCCTTTTAAAATTTTATTTGAAGGTGAGATTACCCAAAAAGGCTTTGATAACAACATAAAAAAGCTCCTGACAGCAGAAAATCAGGTAGGTTTTGATACTTTTGAACAACATGCAAAACAATCTCCTTTATTTAACATGATATGCTTAGCAGGTTATGATTGAATAACCACTTTATTAATAGATGCAATACATTTTGAAAGCAGATGACTGTGCAGTAGTCTGTGATTGTAGTAGAATTCTATAAACCACATGTTTCACATCAATGCCCTATTTATATTGCAGATGACACTACTTCAACACGTGGCAATGAATTTCTCAGTAAGAAAACCACAATTATTTTGCTTCAAGGTCATTTGTAATATAGAACTCGCTGTGGATCAGTTTGATTAACTTTCAGCTTCATCCATTACAGGTGCAGCAGAGGCCTTTGGTAAAGCCAAGAAACTACTACAGCCTCAAGTAAAGAAAAGGCAGTTTCCACTGAATGATAAACGTTTGGACCATGCCAAATCATTATTGAAGGTTAGTTAAAAAGTGAAGCTACCTGTATGACTATCAGCAATATATTAAAAAATAACTTTCTAAATTTGGCTTATTTTTTAATAAATTTCCCTTTTTTTCCTTGATGCTAGGTCAGACTGGCTCCCATGGAGTGGAAGCCAAGAACTCATAGAAAGTGTGGACGGTACCAGAAGTTAATAATGGACGAAGCTCCACCTCGAATCATTCTTCAAGGCCATGAAACCTATGATGATTTAATTACCATAGGCAAAGAACGCTTCTGGCCAGAGCGTACTGAGGGGAGTGAGTTCACTCTTTGCCATTCTGACGGGACCAGGTGGAGTAAGCAGGAGTTCCACAAAGAATACGGAACTGTTTCTGATATTACACATATGTGGAAAAGAACAATATACATCGGGCGACGACAACTGGGTAATAAAGTGTTCAATATTACTATTAACTACTGTCTAGCACTCGAATTTGTATGGTATGAAATAATTTTACTTTTTGTACAGAGGTCGTGTGTTTGGATGATCAAAGTTCCATCTCAGGTGTGTGCCTGCCCAAACCAAATTGAATATTTTTGATGTTATGATTGAACATGGTACACTGGCCATGTTGGGCATTATTCAGATATATTGCAATTAATGTGTTATTTTACAGATGAAGACCCTGTAACTAAAGTGGGTGGTGATGAAAGTTGCAGTTTAGGTGAATGCCTGGACATCTAACTAAATCATTAAAATTGACTTCTTTTTTGTTTTGCATTACATTTCCAACCTTTACACACTTGTTTACTATGCTTGGTCATTGCACAGTTACTGTATATAATATGCATCTTATTCTGCAGATGAACTTCCTGAAACCCTCATAGGACAAAGTGTTGCAGAACAGGTAAAACTATGGCTTCATCTTGAACAGAACAATTAATTTCTTATCATTGTCATAAATGTGGATATTTTCACAGTGCACCCTGCAAAAAGTATATCTTGGCTGAATGTGTTCATAGGATTTCCATGCAGAAACATCCAGCTCAGCTGAATTTGAAACAGGGAGAGTCAGAAAGAAAAGCCAGTCCAAGCAAAGGAAGGAGGAAAATGTAGGGTCATCTCTAGGTCCAGGTGGAGCAGTGAGCCAAGACATGTTACCACATGCAGTTATTGAGTCAAAAGAAGCTATGGAGGGAGCTGAAGAGCTATCTGAAGGTGCTGGAAGTAGTGGGCTTTTGATAGATTTTGCACAGTCTTTCAACCCAACTCCAAAATCGCCATCATGTAAGCATTCTTTCCCATTTAGGGCTAACATCATATCATCAGACAAAATTGTAAATAAAGGTTTTCATTCTTCACTATTTGGTACTCAAGTTCCTGGAGTAAACCTAGATATTAGTGATCCAGCAGTTAATAGAAGAATGATTAGCAGTAGCTGTATGTTAATGGATGTTACTTTGTGTTTTTTTTTTTATCCCCAAGTGTATCTTCCACGTGTTCCATATGTGGAAGAGGCTTTAATTACATACAGTGAGGACAATCTACTGGGAGAAGGAACATTTGGCAAGGTATATAGAGGTTCTTTTCATGGTACTCCAGCAGCTGTTAAAAGGATCATGTGTGGCCAACAAGGGATGGAGGACAGCGACATTCATCATGAGATAAATGTTTCACTGTAAGAACTTTGACACACTTTTTTTTTTCATTGTCAAAATCGATTCTTCCTCAAGCTGTAACATAATATGCCTCTATTTTGTTTTTTTTATTCGGACATGTTTCTGTTTTATTAGGAGACTGTCTCACCCCAACATCGTCAGACTCATGGCAGTTGCCCGCACTGAGTCCTGCTTTTTGTTGGCAGCTGAATACATTCATGGCGCAACCCTGCAGCAAGTGCTTCACACAGACAGCTGCTTGGTGAAGGTACCAATACTCATAACTTTATGTTTAATACATTTAGGTAGATGTGAATTATCTTAATACCCTCATATTAAAAAAGAACTTTTTATTGCTGTCATTTGTTTAAATATGTACTTGAAACCATCTTTGTGTACAACATATAAAAAGACTGATTCCTTTATTTTTCTCTCATGTTTTCAACCATTTAGAATTACCAAAATGATCTTTAATTGTCAAATGCCAGAAAAGTATCAACTTAGTAAAAGAATAATCTTAAATTTTTAATAATAAGCTCCCTTACTGTTTTGGTAGAATTGCTGTTTTTACTTGGATGAGGTCCAGACATTTTAGGTTTTCTTCTACAATATTCTTACAATATTTTTCAGGAATTTCTGTCCAGTCCTCCAGACAGGACTGGTGTAACTGAGTCAGATTGGTTGGCCACCTTGCTCACACACACCATTCACCTCTGCTTACAGTTTCGCAAGAGGACTGCAATCAGGGCTTTTTGATTGTCACCGCCAAACATTGACTTTGTTGGTCTTAGGTCCCATTGTAATTTATTGAAATTGAAATGGCAATTGCATTTGAATACTAATCCTATTTGAAGTAATACATTTCCAGTGGTAGACATGTTAGATTGTCACACCTGGCTACGCATTGTTTTATTAATATTATATATTGTCTTGATAGCTTGAAGGGGATGATGCCGGTTTCATATCACTGGACTTATCCATGGCAGTAGAGTACATCCATGCACAGAGAATCATTCACCAGGATATAAAGCCAGCAAATGTCATGGTAAGCCATACTGTATTTTTCTTTTTCTCCACTTTGTTTTTGAAGATCAAAATAAAAATAGTATATTATTTATTTAACTTTATTCTCTTCAGTCTATTAAACACTACATTTGAACAATGAGAAACTTTTCTGGCATATTCATATAAAGGATTTTTTTTTAAAGTAAGAAGCCTTACATTGTTTCTTTAATAGTCCAATTTTTCTTTAATATGTTGGTTCTTGCACACCTACAAAATTCCCAAACATGTTGTAAGTTTAGGCTTTACAAACTGAAAGTTTCTATTCTTTTATTAGTCTGTACCACTTGCTTAAGTGGAATGGGGATTAAAAAATGCACAGGACTATAAAACCGGGTTGGATCATTAACCAATCTGTTAATTTTAATGTTTGGTATAATAAACAATCTCAGAATAAATCTGCAGTGATTGGGTGATCTGGGTGCTAAAAGCTTTGAGGGGTTTTTTTTTTTTTCCCCAATTATGAGCTGTGGTCTTTGGAATGACATTTTTGATAACATTTGTGAAATTTTAGACAACCTGGTAAGTTCTTATATGTACCTTATAGGTTCACCACCCTTCTAAAAAGGCAGTCCTGACAGACTGGGGCATGGCAAACATAAGAGACACTGTGATGCTTCGTCAAGGGAGTAAGTTCACTGCCCAGGCTACTGGTCCAGCTGGTGGCACATATCTTTACATGGCCCCTGAATGCATACTGATGTTTGAAGAGGCCTCGTTCCAGACAGACATGTGGTCCCTCGGAGCCACATATCTGGAGATCCTGACGGGTTCCGCTCCGTGGATGGTTAAAAAACAAAGAGAACTGGCTGCACTAATGGCCACCAAAACCCCACCACATGCCCTATCACATCTCAGTGACAAAAACAGTTTTCTTGGTGGTTTGGTGAGCTATGACCCAGACTCAAGGCCTTCCGCATCTGATGTTGTTAAGTTTCTCAAGTCAGGCCTTGATCTTACGAGCCGATATGGCTACAAGTGGTAATGTTGCTACAGTCTGCAGTTCAAAAGTCTTTCAATGTGAATTATGTTCTACATTTTGTTAACAAAAGTTGTGGTAAATGAAACACTGAATCATTATGAAAGATGGCACCTTGTCAATTGTATTTCAAAATTTTATTGTACATTTTGTTGGTCAGACAGTTTTCAAATTACCTGTTGATTTTAAACAAGGATAAATAAATGTTAACAAACACTGTTGTATGATTTTATTGGTCATTGGAAATGTTTACTGGTGCACCTTCCATCCTCTCTCTCTTCAGAAAGATGTATATGTCATTTGCCTCGGCAAACGTAGAAAGTGTAGGAACTGCATTTCTGTTCATGGCAGTTGTGAGCTCTTGGACTAGCATGAGGTATGCAGCAAGGCAACCATCAGGTGTGCAGGGAAACTGGCTGTTTTCTAAAATGTTCTGGCACATGTCTCTGAATTCCTGGTTTGCTACCAGTGAAGGCTCTTCCCTCTCACAGATTAATTGCTTGGCATAGTCTAAAAGGTCTGGGTCAACAATGTGCAGCACATTGCCATATCCTGCGAATGAAAGACAATATTGAAAAGATGTTCACTTTGAATGTTAAAAATAAATGAATAATGACAAAGCTGTTCTAGAACCTGTATAAGAAGCAGTCAGTGTTTACAGATGTTATTACAGAAACTTAAAGATGGAAATGTCACTCAAACATTTAGATAAATTTTTAGTTAAAGGTGTCAATATGAAGCCATTTTAGTATTGACAGTAGAAATTCAGAAATCTCTTATTGTACTACAAGTAGGCTTCTTCGGAAGACACAAAAGAGAAAGCACATTATAACAGTTTTACGCTCATTACACTGGCTTCCAGTATATTTTAGAAAATTCATTTTAAAATTTTAGTAATGACTTTCAATGCTCCGAATCGTGAAGCTCCTGCCTTAATTTCTGATCTTATAGAACCCCACGCTCCCTCTCCCAGCCTGTGATCATCTAATCAATGGCTGTTAGTAGTCCCACCAGAAGACCAGAGGCAAGAGATTCTCCAAAGCGGTGGCTCCCAGGTCATGGAATGCTCTGCCTCCATCATTACGTTTCCTTGATTGCATTTATTCTGTATGTTCGATTGTGCTGTTTTATGTTCATCTGTTTTATATTATTGTGAAGCCACTTTGTGGTTTTTATCCTGTGAAGAGTGCTATATCAAAGTAAAAGTAAACTAATGAAAGTTAAAAAAACAAAAAAATAAAACCCCACAGGCTTTCAAATGACATACCAGGAGGTGGTGAGGTAAACAGAAGGTCGGGTTTCCCAAATGGACCAGGTGCATTGCGTTGCTTGCGGATGTCATGGGTGTTCCAAACTGTTTGCTCCGTTTTTAAGTCTCTTTGAAGCAGTGGCAAGTGTGAGTACTGCAAGCAGTTGCTATGAAAAAGGAGAATTAAAAAATTAATATGTTCATCTGCTTCTTTGAGGTAGAATAAGTAAAAGCTAAATTTTAATCAGTACTCAAAAAACAAAGGCATTCCTAGACCACATACTTTCATACTGCTGCTTGATTATTTTTCATGTCTAAAAATATTGACTTACATGTGCACAGGATTGTCCAGTTCAAGGATCCCAGACTCCATCATGGCCTACGCATGTTGTTTTGAAAAAGACATAAGTTGTGAAGGTGAGAATTTCATTAGTGAAAAGGTACAGATGTACATAAACACAGATTCTGGCCTTGTGTTTTCAGATAAACTAATCCATCGTATGTTTAACGAAATTTTGATGGCTAGTCTTTGTTAATAGGTTTTACAGGTGAAAGATTTGCTTTACCTCAAATGTTGTCAGCCATTTCTTAATCCATGTCCGCTTTAAAATACTGTTGAAACATTCAGCTCTCTAAACAACAGAAACATGACATTATCAGTTTTGTTGTCAGGTTGTTACTTTAGAAATAGTCATTTACCAGCTTAAAGACATACCTGGTTGTGCACTGATGTCCCCATTCTGAAGCACCTCCATGCCTGATTCCCAAGATCTCGCATGTGAAATGCCATCTGCATTTGACCCACAACAAGGTTCTCCTTTCCTCTGTCCCCCGAATCATTTGAGGACAGCCTAAAGACACAAACTGAAGATAATTAGTGAATGATGAAAAAATAAATTTATTAACAAAATGTAATCTTTTTTAACCCCCCATTTTTTTAGTATATTGCATACCACCCTGTTCTTGAACAGCCTCAAAGAAGTATCTGGCCACAAAGTTTTGTTTGCGGTTGGATGTGCCCACCTTTAGCCATAGAACCTTCCTGGAAAATCTGAAAAGAAAGAAACAGAAAAGTGGCCACTTGTACATATGATTTAATCATGTTTTGGCACTATGTTTGGTTTTTGTTACATTCCCCAAGAGTGACAGAGGATTTTTATGAAATACAATATAATCAAGTGTGCCTTATATTCAAGTGTTCATATATTTTCACATAACCAAGCCTATTGTTGAAGAATCACCTAACCAAGTCTATTGAAAGGAAAACATGATGCATTCCTTACCTCAGTGTCTGAGATGTTTGACAAACATGATATAATGATGCATTCTTTACTTCAGTGTCTGTGATGTCAGATAAAGCATGATATACTTCTGTATTCTTACCCCAGTGTGTGAAAGATCAGATAAGCTGATCTAATGCCTAACCTCTCTTCGACTTCTCACAAAAGAGAAAGTACTATGTAACCTGCTTTTTCCTATAAATAAAGGAAGCAAGCCTGCATTCGGTGTGTGTGTTCCTCAGAGACACTCACCCGTGCGCACGCTCTTATACACTGAGTTTGGTCTGCAGTGTCTTATTTCTCTTGCTTGTGTTTGAACAAATGTCTTCCCCTGACAAAGAGTATGCTGGTTTTCCATTGTATTATGTCTAGGCGTTGTTTCTGGTTCCTCCGGCCATTTTGACTGCCATAGTTGTGTAGGCTTACATGCCTTTGGAATTGAATGTGACTCTTGACTGTGTTCAGACTGACGCGAGGGGAGAGCTGCCTTTTGTTTTGTAATCCCTTGTATTCTCCTGTTTATGTGTTGGTTAGGTAGGTTATCGTAAATTGTACATTTTATTTTCTTTGGAGTTAAATTCTGTTTACTTTATATCAGGGATGTTTTGTTTGTTGTGTTGGTCTTGGCCCTCCCTGAAATTAACTGCCAGTCTGAAATGGAACTTTAAGACTAGCAGGAAATAAGCCTTTTAAAAACCGCCATCTTGAATACTCCTTCACTATTCATACTTTATCTTGGTCCCTTAGACCAGGCTTGGCCAAATCCAGACCTCGAGGGCCAGTGTCCTGCATGTTTTAGATATCACCCTGGGTAAACACACTTGAATAAAATGATTAGTTCATTACCAGGCCTCTGGAGAACTACAAAACATGTTGTGAGGGTAATTTAGCCATTTGAATCAGCTGTGGATCAAGGACACATCTAAAACCTGCAGGACACCGGCCCTCGAGGCCTGGACTTGCCCATCCCTGCCCTAGACTCCTCAGGAGAGATAACACCTCAGTTTACCGCACATCCTTATCTTGAAGCAACTTTGTACTATCACTGAATATAATAAATTAAGTAGCGAATGCCATATTCAAACCTACCCATCAATCCCCAAATGTATCCACATTCCAAAGAACTTCAGTTTATCATTGCCTATATGAAACAACAAATAATAATTACAATTTGTTTCAACAGAAGTACCATCAAAACATGTTTGGAAGGTTAATTGAAAAGATAAAATAAATACCATCAATGTGCCATGTGTCATTTGGACCACGGCTGATGTAATTCCGACGGGGAATTTTCTTCTTTCCAGGAGATCTCCTCTGAAGAACACTTGCATCCATATACCTCATTATATTAGCAACATCGTCTCTACAGTAACAATAGATTTTACTATGAGCTCAACAGTAAAACAAGAGAATACTTGATTATATACACACTATTTAACCAACCTGTAACAAGGCCGCACTCCTCTGACATCCCTTACCCGCTTTACCATTGCCCTGATTCCTTGTTCAGGAGACCACTGTTTCATCTCACTCTAAAAAACAAACAAACAGACAATTGAATGTTTTTTTTTTTAATCACTACAGAAAATAACATTTATTGTTTCTACAATAGCTCATGACACAGACTTCAGGAAAATATATAGTTTTTGCACTGATGTTTTAACGCTTACCTCCACAGCTTTGTGGATTTCAGTAAAAGGTCGTTGGGGGCATCTTCGCTTCAACCCTAGAAGTTTTAAAACTCGTCTCAGATGCCTCTCACTGTTAAAAGACAACACAGACTTACATTATATTGAATGCAAACTGCATGTTTTGTCATTTTAGAGAGTTGTCACGGAAACTGTTGAAATGCAGACTTACCTTATTTTATGCCCATATGAATTCAGTGCACAGCTGATTTCCTTTTGTTTTAAGCCTTTGTTGAACAATGTTATTATCATCATATCTTGAAAGGTTAAGTGTAACAACAACAGTCTAATTGATCACCCACCTCTTACACTGAACATAAGTAATTAACCAGTAAAGTACTAAATCTTTTTATGTGGCAATTACACTAAAAGCATCGTCAATTCAGTGCCCACAAATAAAACGTGTAGCAAAAAATACACTTCTTTGATATTAAATAGGTGAACAGTAGTTAATAAATAAGTTGTACTTTAGTCATTTATTTTTAATGCTCTTTTTTTAATAAAAAAAAAAAGTATTTTTGGTACAGTCATGGGAACCAGCCAGAGTCGGATACTCCTTTCATCATCGTCAGATGACATATTGCAGCAAAGTCTAAAAACAATAACAGAAAAAAAAAATCAGGATCAAAAAATATCCCGACAGTAGCAATATAGAAAAGAGAAATAAAGAAAAAGAGCGACAGAAAGGATGCAGGCTGCTCGTAAGCTTTCAGCTTGTCCATTTGCTGAAATGTATACAAAACAATTACTGAACAGTTTAAATTTGAATCACGTTTCACCACTGTCGCTAGCTAGAATGAATTAGCCAGACAAAAATAGTACTGATTTGGTTTCGTACAAAACTGGCTTTCCGTCTCTGATATGTAACTTTCACAACATAACTGCAACTTAATATAACACAACTGTGGCAAAAATATGAACAAAAGGGAGAAAAAGTTAAACTTACCTTGTGTCGTTAGGAGCCTGAACCACGGTAAAACTCCGGTGAGGTCAATGACCTTACGCTCTCCCACGGTCACACGTTGATGACGTATTTGGAAATCAATTCGGGTGGGACATGACAACAGCGCCACCTGCAGGAAGATTTTCTCTCTGGTACCTTGTGTTCTGATACCTGACAATTTTTTTTCTGACACCTGACAACTTTTTTGTCTGACACCTGACAACTTTTTTTCTGACACCTGACAACTTTTTTTCTGACACCTGACAATTTTTTTTCTGATACCTGACTTTTTTTTTTTTGACAACTGACACCTGACAATTTTTTTTCTGACACCTGACAACTTTTTTTCTGACACCTGACAACTTTTTTTCTGACACCTGACAACTTTTTTTCTGACACCTGACAATTTTTTTTCTGACACCTGACTTTTTTTTTTTTGACAACTGACACCTGACAATTTTTTGTCTGACACCTGACAACTTTTTTTCTGACACCTGACAACTTTTTTTCTGACACCTGACAATTTTTTTTCTGATACCTGACTTTTTTTTTTTTGACAACTGACACCTGACAATTTTTTTTCTGACACCTGACAACTTTTTTTCTGACACCTGACAATTTTTTTTCTGATACCTGACTTTTTTTTTTGACAACTGACACCTGACAATTTTTTTTCTGACACCTGACAATTTTTTTTCTGATACCTGACAATTTTTTTTTGACAACTGACACCTGACAATTTTTTGTCTGATACCTGACGATGTCCTAAAATGTACACCGTACTCTAGTCAGATCTTAGAATTGGTGATTAATTTTTGTTTAATTCTGTCTTATTATTAAATGTAATTTAGAGCATGTTAAATGCATGTTAAAATAATAATATGATATATTGGGTCATGATTGAAAAAAAGATGGTGTGCACAGCTGAAGCTCTTCTACTCCGTTTTATATTTAACGAGAAAAAATAAAAATATTACTTGATGACTACGGCTGTGAAAACTGACTAGTTAAAACAGAAAGCTGACAGTTCTTCATTTACATATATCTATAAATAATAGATGAACTCATGCAGGTGCATCCTGGGAAAGAAGAGAAGAGAGAGAAAGGTGATGGTTCACTGACTGAGGATGCAAATTAATGCAGGGTAGAAACAACACGTCATCTTAGTGTCACTGTGACCTTTTGTATGTTTATCTAAACTTAAGAAGCGCTGCTCACTGGTGTGCAGCGATTGTACATTACGCTGTGACAAACAACACATACTTAAGCCTTTTCTGGCAAAAATAAGATGAAAACAACAAAAGCAAGAAAGAAAGAAGTATGAGTACAGTTTAAATGAACAACACTTTAATTAAGGTTTTTTATGTAAAATAAAAATAAAAATTCATGTATGAATATTTTAAACTGCATTTTATTAAAATAAGGAAAAAGACAGCAAAACATGAATTCCTAAAACTATGCAGTAATGACAAGAAAATATACTCATGGTGTAAATCTTATGCCTTATTCAGATTTCCAACATGAATATATTTTAGTAAACAGCAGTAGACAAGCCAATTTCAAATGCACATTCTGATCCTCGACTATTCAGTGAGACATCTTACTGAACAGTGACGCAATTTCTTATTTACTGAAAAGAAAACACATTTTTTAAATCAATGCTTTTATTAATTTAATGCAAGACATGAATTCCTGAAAATACTTGTCAAAAACCAGCAAATGAATACATGACTTAAACCTTTTGCTTTATTCAGATTTCTAACATGTAAAGACTGTAATGAGCAAACAGCACAAGCAGTAAAGAAGCAGATTTTAAATGCACATTCTGGTCCTTGACTATTCACTGGGACATTCTGACATCTTGATGGTTTTCTCTGAAGTCTCTGAGCCCAAAGACACTTTACATGTATAAACCTTATCCATGTTCCATTCTGATGTCTGGATGGTCAGAGAGCTGCTGATTTGGTAAGTCTGGTCTGGTCTCTGAACAGCAGTGCTGGTAGAGATCTCACTGCTCACTGGACTCCCACCAGCCAACCAGCTCACATCTGCAAAAGGCACAGACTGACTGGACAGACAGACCAGAGAAGCTGTGTCGGACTGGAGCTCAGCACTGGACGGAGGGAAGACTGTCAGGACAGGAAGAGAGAGGCTGGAGCCTGAAAATACATGAAAGATGTTCAGGAAAAATCAAAGGAAATGAAATGAAATAATGAAAACAAAAAAATCAAGACATCAATAAGAGTCAATATGGAATAAACATAATATTTGTTATGAAATTAGAAGAAAACAATACTACTATACTGTTATTTGCAAAAATATACAGACATAACTCAACATAGCAATTGAATTTCTTTTTAAGTTTTCCCAAAATAAAATATGATTAGCTACTCTTTAACTTTTCATGTAAGATGTCATGAATTTAATTCTGGTTTCTGCATAACATGTGAGCATTTTCTTTCTTTAAAAAAAATGGTACGGCCAGGTTCTAATCACTTAAAAGTAATTTTGAACATTAGTAACACTGTTAACTGCTATTGAAGAAAGAGAAAACAGGCCTATGTTTTTGAAATGCCAACCCAAATATAAATTTGGGTTGGCATTCTTTCTGCCTTATAAATGTGTTTCTAATTACACACTGATGAATACTGAATCTGTGTGTAACAACGACCACCACTGAGAGTAATAGTCCTCAGGTCATATATATTTGTGTGTGTGTGTGTTTGTGTATTTGTGAACCAAAAATTGGTATTTATGTCAAAGTCTTATTCATTTCAAATAAGTTGAATGTTTATTGTGCTTTTGTTATTCAATTTGTTGGCATTCGTTTGTTGTAAAATAATTCTAAATTAGTATTGTATTCTTTGTTGTTCTTTTTATTCATTAGTCATCAATAACAAAGCATGTGATGTTAGGGGAACATACTATTGCTATCTGTTTGCTTTTGCAAATAAAAGTCTTATTTTTTATAATTTCTATTTGCACATAGCCTTTGGACCAGCTAATAGAGCAGGAAAATACAAGAAATGTATTTTTGACATGACTGTGAAGTGTAAACAGTCACTTTCAAGAACATTTACAGATCATCATTTGGTAGTTTATGGGCACTTGTACTAATTATTTAAGTGAAAATACATAAAATTCATTAAAGTTTCATGGTGCTCCATTTGCTGCTCCAAGGTGCTGTCCTCACCTTTTCTGCCAAGTCGTCGTCTGGTTTCCTGTGTCCTCTTGGCTTCTACACCCACGTGCTACTCACCTGTTGCTCGTCACTGCTAATCGATCCAGGCAGTACTGAAGGCCTTGTTGGAGCGCCGTTCCTCCTAAGTTCCTCGTTGTACTTACCTCCTTTAGTGTAGGCCCGGCTCTCTCTAGTGTACTTCCCTGTGTTCCCTGGTATTTCTTCTAACATCTGTCTTCGTCTCCCTGTATAGATCTTCCTGGATCCTTGCTTGTTTCCCTTGGACCTGACATGGATAAGCATGAGTGAGAGTGAGTCACAGTGTGGAATTGTGTTTCCTGTTATGGACTGAAACAAAGAGTAGCGTGAGTGAGTTTTCCCCGACCTTCTCTTCAAATCCCTGGAACCTTCTTTGCATTATTCCCGTATATATGTAAATAACTCACCTGGTGTTGTAAATAAAACCCCTTTTGACTGCACAGCTCTGAGTCCTGCTTAACTAAATGTGACATTCAAGTATTCTTGACAGAATTCCAGGAAGAAGAAGTAGATACTGTTTATTTCCTTCCCATGAGTATTATGTCAGTCAGTTTGAGCTTCATCATTTGATCTAGCTCAAACTGACTAGCTCAAATATATACAATAATAATACAATAACTACAACAAATGACACCATCAGAATTACCAAAGTCATGTTTAATCACCATGTCTGACAAAAATAATGTTCTTGAAAAGTGGTTGTAAAAGTATCAAACATTTACTAGTGTTCTTTACCTCACCTTTCTACATTTTCTTTCCGCCTTATAAATATGTTTGTGATCAATACAAACTAAATGTAAATGAAGATGTCCTAGATGTTCTAAACTATCTTCAGTATAGCTTTGTATTTTTGTTTAACTGCATGTTAACAACACTTTGTTTTAAACAATAAGTTAAACTGCAGTTGGAATGTAACAGTTAGACATGTGAGTAGTGTCTATAAAATTTATTAAAAACAGCAACATATAATACTGTATGTTGGATAGTTTGGTTTAAATGATCATTTGGGCTGATGTGAGTAAATGAGATGTACATATTTCAGTGCTTTGTTCTTTATGCTTTTAATAACAAAGATTAAAAAGCATTAAAAATGGAAAAATTGAGTGTTTATCAACATGTTATGTGAAGGTGGTGAGTTTGACTGAGTTTTCTTGATGGGTCTTTTTTCTGCATGTAAAAGTTTCTCAAAAAGCAGAAGTACTAATGAGGAGGTTTTTGTCACAGCCTGAATCACTGTGATACGGTTGCAGAAGCAGAGTCATCATATGTCTGACAGTAATACACTGCAGAGTCTCCTGTCTCTGCTCGCTTGATAATGAACTGGTAATCAATGTCTGATGAGGATTTAGAGTTGAATCTGTCTGAGGAGAATCCTGTTCCAAAGCTGGGTGAGCTGCTAGAATGATGAAATCTTAGAACATACTGAGGAACCGTTCCAGGAACTTGTTTATACCAGCTAACATAATTTGCATCATATCTCTCTATGTTGCAGTTGAGAACAACTTCTTGACCTGGAGAAACTGTGTGAACAGAAGGTGTCTGGGTCAACACGATCACTGCATCAACATCTGCCAGGAAACACAGAAAAAAACTGAAGATAAATTTTAGCTCTAAATATGGAATAAAAAAATAGGAATAAAAAGAAGATCTTACATGTTAGAGCAGTGATGAGAGTGCAGAGGGTCCACAGCATGTTGTCAGTGTGAGGTGTAAATGATCTTTACTGTTCAGCTGAGATGTGAGTGAGATTGTGAGAAGAGATACTGGAGCTTATAAAGACAGAGGAAACCAAAGGAGGAGGTGGTTCAACAAAACTACTTTCATTCATAGATCAAATGATTTATGAACAGTTTGTCATTGTTGTTCACATTGTTTCACAATGTTTTGGATTCATATTCATCATTCATGCTCATGTCTGTCGTAAAATAATGTTCTCGAACAGTTAATGTAAAAGAAACAAATATTTATAACTGATGTCCTTATGCCCACACGTTCCATTTTCTTTCTACCCAAGTGTGTTTATGATCGATTTTCAACTAAAATTTAAGTGCATTTTCAGTTTATATATAAAAATGTTTTCTTGACAGTTGACAGTTCTTCATTTACATGTATCTATTTTACACAACCTCATTGTGTAACAAACACTATCCTTTTAGTCTGATTATTGCCACATGTACTGCAGCTGGAATGTAACAGTTTTAACACTATAGACTAGTATACATCAAATTTATGTAATTAAAGCAAATCACATACAGCAGCATACACATTTGTGTGTTTGTTAGCATTTTGTGTATAATCATTTGTGTTATTGCAGATGAATGTGCACATATTGAAATTCCTCGCTTATTTATATGTTCAGTGATAAATGTTAAAATTAGTCACAAAAAAGTAATTCAGTGTTTATTTCAGTTTTTTTCTCGCATTGGGTCAAATCTCATCAAAGCTCTTTAAACGAGCTCTTTTGTCAGTCACAACTCTAGAGTGATTACTTTCCTGAATACTTTCCTGGATTAATGTTTTCAATCAAATTACTTCAAACTGAATATTTTGATAACTTGGTTTTCAGGGATGGTGAAAGCTTTGTATTAATAATAATAAACTTTATTTATAAAGCACACTTAAAAACCAAGGGTATGCCAAGGTGCTTAACAAGTAGCATAGAGAATAGAAGGAAGATAATAGAAATAGGACCAAAGCAAGTACTAGGTATGCAAACAGGTAGCTGTCACTGATACATAGGAAAGCAACAGGTACAGAGCAAACAAGAAGTTAAATGAGCATAAAAGTGCATAATATAAAATCATAAAAGAAATATTAACTAGAGGGAAAGGCAAGATTGAATAAGTGGGTTTTTAGTCGTGATTTGAACAGTGCAATGGAATCAGATGCGTGGAGGTCGAGAGGAAGGGTATTCCACAGTACCGGGGCAGCCAGAGCAAACGCACGGTCACCCAGGGACTTCAGCCGAGATCTGGGTTGGGTCAGAAGTAGTTGAGTGGCGGATCTAAGTGTTCTAGCAGGAGTATGTGATTTGAGAAGTTCACTAAGATAACGTTTGTGACCTCCAGGTTGGATTATTGTAATTCCTTGTACTACGGTCTTCCCTCTTCTCTTCTTCTTAGACTACAAACAGACCAAAATGAAGCAGCCCGCCTCTTGACTGGTACCAGGAAATTTTTCCCTATTACTCCTGTTCTAGCTAGCTTGCATTGGCTGCCCATAAAGTACCGTATTCAATTTAAAATATTACTCCTTACATTCACCTTAAAAGCAATGTGAGTCACAGCAGCAGGAGGCAATGTGGTCACATGAATGACACCCACTCACAAAATCTTTGGACATGAAAGTCCAAATATTTTGGGACGATACATGTTTAACTCTAAGAAAGGAAATAGGTGGCAAAATCCCTGTAGATCCCATGATGCTGTATCTTGGAGTAATTAAAGAGGATGTTGTGGTAAAAAAAAAATAAGCTCATTGTTGGTTACAAAACAAATAGCTCAAAGAATGTGTATATAAAGGATATCTTTATGAGAGGATGGGTTTCTTGCAAAGGTCTAAAGGAGACGCCTTTTCACAAAAGTGGAAGGAATGGATTGCCTTCATGTGTCATGGTCCTGGGTCTTCTGCACAGTGTTTTGTGTTTTTCATTCAACTTCTGTTCTTGTTAGATATTACCGACTGGTTATATGTAATGGTTTTAATGTTCAATGGAAAACAATAAATGACAGCAGAAAGATGCAGAAAGGTTTAGTTTCATAACTGGACTTCATTAATGTTCTTTAACAGTAAGTAAGTTAGGTTTAGGCAAACATCGTACAGTGCTCAGCTGTCTCTGATTGATCAAATGATATGAACTGAAACATTTCCATTAAAAACAGCAGGTCCATTTTATTTTACAGGGAGCCTATTTGCCATTTACTTGAGTTACTAAGACCTGCAGGTGCATCCTGGAAACGAAGAAAAAGAAGCACAGAGAGGCGATGCTTCACTAACCGAGAGTGAAGATACATTTGCAAATCTACAACCAACATTTTAAACCAGTGACACTTACCTTCTCTCTTACTCTTATGAAGAAATATTAAATGATGCTCTCTAGTGGTCAAATATTACTTAGTCTGTATGTCAGAATATACTTGTGTTTTAACTATGGGAGCAAGAAAATTGAAAATTTTGTGCTTATGAGTGTTGTTTTCCTCAGTGTGCCCCTCTCTAAAATGTAACAGTTCATTTCAATCACCTTAAATTTATGTTAGTGCAAAACAGTGGCACAATCCCATTTATTCACAAGAAAACACATTTCTTTAAACCAATGTTTTTATTAATTTAATGCAAAATATGAATTCCTGAAAATACTTGTTGAAAACCAGCTAATGAATACATGACTTAAACCTTTTGCATTATTTTGATTTCTAACACGTAAAGACTGTAATGAGCAAACAGCACAAGCAGTAAAGAAGCAGATTTTAAATGCACATTCTGGTCATCGACTACTCAGTGGGACATTCTGACTTCTTGATGGTTTTCTCTGAAGTCTGTGAGCCCAAAGACACTTTACATGTATAAACCTTATCCATGTTCCAGTCTGACGTCTGGATGGTCAGAGAGCTGCTGATTTGGTAAGTCTGGTCTGATCTCTGAACAGCAGTGCTGGTAGAGATCCCACTGCTCACTGGACTCCCAGCAGCCAACCAGTTCACATCTGCAAAAGGCACAGACTGACTGGACAGACAGACCAGAGAAGCTGTGTCGGACTGGAGCTCAGCACTGGACGGAGGGAAGACTGTCAGGACAGGAGGAGGGAGGCTGGAGTCTGAAAATACATGAAGGACAAACAAAAAAAGAGAAATGAAAGGAAAGAAGGAAATTGGACATGAGGTCATAAAACCAGAAGAAATCAAGAAGACTCAATATGGAATAAATATAACAATTGTTATGAAGTTAGAAGAAAACAAAACTAATGTATAAAATATGAACTAAAATATATGGATCCAACATATCATTTGAATTTCTTTTTGTATTTTTACAGTATAAAATATGATTAGTCACTGTTTAATTTTCCATGTAAGATGTCTTTGATTTAATTCTACACATTTCTGCATAACATGTCAGCTAATGTGGGTAATTTTCTTTCATATCAAAGAAAAGTTCTAATCACTTCAAAGTAATTTTGAACTTTAGTAACAGTGTTAACTACTATTGAAGAAAGAGAAAATGGGCCTATGTATGTTTTTGAAATACCAACCTAAACATAAATTAAAAGCAATAAGAACAGGAAAACAACATATTTCACACCATTTTCATAGAACTGGTTTGACACCATTTCACATTTTTTAAACATGTCATTCATGTCTCCTGTACATGAGACAACCTGAAACTATTTCAGATTGTACAAAATCGTAAAAAATGATGCTGAACAAGAAACATATTGAACTAAGTAGTCATCAGCAGATTTTCGCAAAATCTCTCTTGTTTTATGATCAGTTAAAAAGTACTTACCTGTCACAATCAGCTTGGTGCCTTGTCCGAATACCACAGTGATTCAGTTTGTATACATGGCTGTAAAAAAACCTCCTGACTGTCACTGATGAGGGGAGAGGAACTGAAACATCCTGTAGAGACCAACTTGTACTGTCAACATCTCATTCACTTCATCTGTTTGTATTTTATAACTGTGTCTCTCTCTTTGTAGTTTATTCCTTCATGTCACTTGTTTGTGCAAGATTTAATAAAGTCCTCATTATTGGTCAGAATTAATCAAAACTGTACTGCCTCTCAATAAGATTTTGGCCACAGTCTGCTTCACTATGAACCAGCTTTCTTGGGAGAGTGTTCCCATGTCTGACAGGAACTCACTGCAGAGTCTCCTGTCTCTGCATGATTGATAAAAGCCTGAAAATCAGTGTTTGGTCAGGATTTAGATATTAATCTGACTGAGGAGAATCCTGCTGAAATTGCGGGTGAGCTGTAAGAATGATGAAATCTCAGAACTTAGGAGAAGAACCAGGAGCCTGTTTGTACCAGCCGACATAAAAGCCTTCAGCTTTTTAATGTTGTATTTGAGCAGGTTAACGGTAAAAAATCCAATGTTTAATAAGACATTATCTGGAGATTGTATGTTACTCTGCATTTTCTTGATTGGACTATACTGTGAATAAGTCTAAGAAAGCATATGTACTGCCAAGAGGTTTGTAACACATTGTGATAAGTACAGTGTCTTCTATTTCTGCGAACTTGATAGTTAAATGATAATTAATGTTTGATGAGGACGTAGAGTTGAATCTTTCTGAGGAGAATCTTGTTTCAAAGCTTTTGAGCTGTCAGAATGGAGAAATCTTAGAAACATACAGATGATCTTCTCTAGGAACTTATTTATACAGCTAATAGAATTCCTATCATCTCTCTCAATGTTGCATTTGAGAACATCTTGTTGAAAACTTTGTACTTAAGTACAGTAAGTAAGTATTTGTACTTGGTTACTTCCCACCTCTGGGGACAGAAAACCTGTTCCAACGCCAAGTGAGCTGCCAGAATGAAAACTGAGGAACCCCTCCAGGAAATTGTTTAGACCATCCAACATAATTGAACCATATTGCAGTTGAGAACAACTTCTTGACCTGGAGAAACCTTGTGGACAGCAGGTATCTGGATAAACACTTCTGCTGCATTAACATGTGCCAACAAACACAGAAA